AGGGAACATACTGAAACGATTAAAAGGTAATCATTACAAGGAACATACTGAAATGATTAAAAGGTAATCACTACAGGGAACATACTGAAATGATCAAAAGGTAATAACACAGATGATAAAAAATTCACCATCATACATAAGTTCACCATCATACACAATTTCACCATCATACACAATTTCACCATCATACACAAGTTCACCATCATACAGAAGTTCATCATCATACAGAAGTTCACCATCATACAGAAGTTCACCATCATACACAAGTTCACCATCATACACAAGTTCATCATCATACACATTTATTTATTTATTTATTTAGGCATTTTTATATAGCGCTTACCTTAAAGATCTAAGCGCTTTACAATTATTAAAAACGTGTAAACTAACTAAAACATATATTCATTGAAACAATTTGATGCATTGTTTTAAATCGTTGACTACAAAGTACATATGTAACAACATAGTTGTTGACCTCCCGACCCCAATATTTCTCCCTTTTTAGTCTTTGTGTACACCATGGTGGGATGTTGGTGGCCACTGGTCAGTACGCTAGCAAAGATGAGAAGGGCCATTTGGTATGTCAAACTGTATCTTACTATAATTTATTATCTATGTCTTAGTATACCGTATATAATTATCTATGTCTTACTATATATATAACTAAAAATGTCTTACTAATTGTACCGGTATAACTATATTTTGTCTTAGTGTAAATAACTATCTATGTTTTACTAATTATATAAAGATTTGTTTATTACTACACATAACTATACATGACTTACACTAATTATATGTTACATTAAGAAATGGCGTCAGCGGGCCGTCGAGCTTGCGCTCTTTATGCCCTCCCCAAAACACCCATCCCCAACCCGGTATCGGGCCGCGGAGCGGCACGTCGGGGATGTCCCTTTGTCAGGACAGCCCCCACCCGAGTCTGCTTGACCAGGGTCTCCGCGGGGGGCCGTCCTAACCCAAAGACACCCGGTCGGTCCGACACTGTGTTTGCACAGTGCACTCGATCGACTTTCTCAGGAGTCGGGATGGAAATAGTTACGTCCTAATATCTTCCCCCACCCATCCCGGGGAAGCGTTAGACACCCTATAAGAGGGATTCTACAGTGGGTTTCCACAATGCAACTAATTCGCGATGCAGCTGGGATGAAATGGTTGCCTTGGAGCAGCTTCCCAGGTCTGCGTAGTAAGAATCATCGGCCAGAGGTTACCACCTTCGCCTCTCGCCTCATATCCATTAACGGCAACTTATAATCATGATCTCTATCCTGTCTCTGCCTATACATTAATTATATAAATATCTATGTCTTACTGTAAATAACTGTATAACGGCATACTTCTACAACGTCTGCAAAAAACGTTCGGTTTCACCGATACCGTCCTGAGATGGTTCCGCTCGTATCTGAAAATTCGGGTCCAATCAGTTATCGCAAATGGCTTGACCTCGAAGAAATCTATTATTGAATTCGGAGTACCCCAGGGCTCGGTCCTAGGTCCATTACTTTTCACTATGTACGTTCAGCCCTTGGGTGCAGTGATCAAGCAGTTTGATATGCTATATCACATGTTCGCTGATGTTACCGAACTTCAGCAATCCGTGACCCCCCTTGACAGTGGAGTCAGTTAAGCACTGGATAAACATAAACGAGCTCAAATTGAACGATGAAAAGATCGAGCTAATCCCCATTGCTAACGCCCAAACGCTAAAATATGTAAATGACACACCATCCCTTTTTCTCTCAGGTATACAGATTGAGATTGCTCCAACAGTGCGAGACCTGGAAGTCTATTTAGACAGAACACTAACTATTGAAAATCACATAACATGCTTTGCAAGGTGTTTTTTTTTTAGAGCTGCGGAGAATTAGTCATATCAGACCTTTCTTAACGTTAGTTGCAACAAAGAGGCTGATGTCTGCATTCGTGCTATCACGCATGGACTACTGCAATGCTCTCGTGGTGGGTCTTCCAGCTACGCTCCTGCATAAAATTCAAAGGGTGCAGAATAATGCGGCTCGCATTGTTTTTCGCAAAAGCAAATTTGACCATGCTAAAACACTTCTGAGGGAGTTGCATTGGCTGCCGGTCCACGCTCGCATAGAGTACAAGATTGCAATTCTGTGCTACCGCTGTTTCCATGACTTGGCACCGTTCTATCTCAAAGCCTCATGACGCCTTATTTACAAAATAGACAACTCCGATCATCCGATAATGGCAAACTCTCGACACCACGTGTTCGCCTTGAGACTTACGGAAGGCGCATGTTCAAATTTCCTGGCCCAACACACTTTCTGTCGCTCTCAGAAACAGCCAGACACTTGAGTCTTTCAAAACCGATTTGAAAACATATCTTTTTCGCAAACACCTGTGGGGGTGAATTTTTCTACCATCTTTTCCAGCTAACTATTATCTCCTAGATGTAAAGTGGCCTGTGTGGTTTATGGTTGCAAGGGATGAAAGACTTAGAATGGGTATTCTCGTATGTAGTTTTTGTAATGTTGCGTTTTGTATTTCAATGTGGTAAAATATAGATTTTTTTCATTTCTTTTGAATATGGATGACTTTGTACAGCGCTTCGGGCCTTTGGGGATGAAGCGTGTATTTCAAATAACCTTTATTATAGGGTCAGTGGGCGCATGAGACATGGGATAGACGGGGTTTAGCGGGTCATGTGGACATAGGGATACATTAAGGGTACACGGGAGATTAACAGGGACTGGGTAGCATAAGAACCAGCAGCGTAGGGACTATGTAGCATTGGGCCCATGTAGCATAGGGGCCAGGTAGCATGAGGGCCAGGTAGCATGAAGGCCAGGTAGCATAAAGGCCAGGTAGCATAGGGACCAGGGTAGCTTAGGGGAGGGTAGCATAGTGGCCCGTATAGCAGAAGAGGCAGTGTATCATATGGGAAAGGGTAGCATAGGGGCTAGGCTGTCATAGGGGGCTGGGTAGCATATGGAACATGGCAGCCGAGGGGCAGGGTAGCATGGGGGCCAGGATATTATAAGGGCACGGTTACATAGGAGGAATGGGAGCATAGTGGGCAGGTTAGAATAGGGCAGGGTAGCTTAGGTGCCAGGTAACACAGGGGCCAGGGTAGCATATGTTAGGGTCAATCACCAAACAAGATGGTTGGTTTATAAAACCAATAGGATGAGCCTGATAAAGTCTCGTGATAGAGGAAAGATAAAGTCTCGTGATAGAGGAAAGATAAAGTCTCGTGATAGAGGAAAGATAAAGTCTCGTGATAGAGGAAAGATCAACACCGTGTTCCAGTTAAATAAGCTTAAATTAAACAGTGAGGAAAATGACTCTTATGTGGTCAAGTTTAAAATAAAGCAAGATGACACTATTATGGTCAAATTAAACACTCCTAAAAGTGACCCTCACATTGTCCGAATAAACAAAAGGAAATCAATGACCCTAATGCGGCCAAAGGTTGAACTATATTCCATTGTTTTTATGGCTTTATTTCCTTCCAGGCACATGTGAGAATCTGGCGTGCTGACACACTCAACACACTACACGTGCTGGGGGCAGGGCTTATGAGTAAATGTGTTTTAACAATGTGTTTCATGCCAGGCGAGGTGAGTTATTTGATGTCGTCGTTCAAATGACAGTATAAGACCACCCTTAAAATTGCAGCAGCAGAAGACCCTAAAATGACAATAAAAGACCACCTTTAAAATTGAAGTAGTAGAAGACCCTAAAATGACAGCATAGGAGATCCTTAAATGGCAGTTAAAGATCCCCTAAAATACATGATAAAATCCTATTAAAATACAAAACTCTCTAAAATAAATTATAACCCCCCCCCCCACTCTAATATGAAAGCAATTAGATATCCAGCAGTCTTGAGACCCAAACCATTTGAGTCACCTAAATAAATTAAAACATTTGAATATTGTACGAAACCTTAAAATAACATAATAAATAATATATGTGGCTTTTAGAACAACAGAAAAAATTAACAATTTGAAATCTTTATTTAACACGTTCTTATCTGGCACGTTACTTTTTGTAACAATTTTTCCAACTTAGGACATATAAGATATCTAGCATGTAACTTTTATTCGTGTTTTGTTACAACATAGGACATTTAATATATCTAGCATGTAACTTATATATGTTTATTGTTAAAATATAGGACATATAAGATATATAGCATGTAATTTATATATGTTTATTGTTACAATATAGGACAAATAAGATATTTAGCATGTAACTTATTTGTGTGTATTGTTACAACATAAGACATTTAAGATATCTAGCATGTAACCTGTATGTGTTTATTATTACAACTTAAGACATGCAAGTTATCTGGCATGTAACTTGTATGTGTCTATTGTTACAACATAAGACATGCAAGTTATCTGGCATGTAACTTGTATGTGTCTATTGTTACAACATAAGACATGCAAGTTATCTAGCATGTAACTTGTATGTGTCTATTGTTACAACATAGGGCGTGCAAGTTATCTAGCATGTCAACGGTATGTGTTTATATTCCAATGATAGGATATTCTGGCGTGTGCTGATAATTCACCAGAGAAAAAATTAACCGTCTGGGACATCAAAGATGGTAGTCTGGTCGGAGAAACCTTTGTAAGTAGGTCAGGATATATGATTTGTTTGGGGCGGGGGCCTTTGCCATTAGATCAGATACATGATCTTTTTGTGCTGGGGACCTTATTAGTTGGTCAGGATATATGGCCTTTTTGATGTGAAACACGGTCATGATGTAAGTAATTTGGAGGGGGGGGGGTTGTACCATCAACATAGGTCAACTTTGAGGTGGTGTGGGTCTTTAGTAAGTAGGTCATGATAGAAGACTTTTCTTCTTTTTTTGGTGGGCGTTAATCTTGCAAGTAGAAGAGTGTGGCAAGGGAATCGATTAATTTGGTAAGGATTATTGAGAAGTAGATCAATGTGGTAAATGTCATATCTGACTTTGTAACCAGATATCTACAGAAATCCTTTTTGACATGGAGATCAATCCAAAGTATCCAGAGTTGTTAGTGACATGCGGGAAAGAGCACCTGGCATGGTGGAAGATTTACGTGGAGGCAAAAAGAATACAGCCTGCTGCTCAGCCAAACTACGAGGTGAGTACGTGGAGCTATGGTGGATACAGTTGAAGTCATTGTGGATACAGTTGAAGTCATGATGGATAGTTGTGTATTTATGGTGAATTCAGGTTTTTATGGTGGTTACTTGTGTAATCATGGGGGGATACTGGTGGAGCCATGGTGGATACAGGTTTAGTCATTGTGGATACAGGTGGATTCATGTTGAATTCGGGTGTGGTATGTAGGATACATGTGTAATCATTGTGGATACAGTTGAAACCATGGTGGATATAGTTGTAGTCATTGTGGATACAGGTGGATTCATGTTGAATTCGGGTGTGGTATGTAGGATACATGTGTAATCATTGTGGATACAGTTGAAACCATGGTGGATATAGTTGTAGTCATTGCTGATACATGTGTTTTATAGTGGATACATGGGTAGGAGCCATTGTGAATGCATCCAAACTATGAAGTGAGAAGTATTACCCATGTTAGATAAAATCAAAATTGTTCTAACAGTGAATGTTTACAATAAATTGTTCAACAAAGTTCTATTGAAATCCTATAAATTCTTCTTCATTCTGTGGAGTTTTCCCTACAATAAACTCATAGCTTCAATTTTTGAAAGATAATTTATTTATATTAATAATGAAACTGAAACAAATGATTTAGCCGTACCATAGCTGGGAAATAATTGAAATGGCGCATGATTGTGGTCCATCAAACGTTATGTTTGTATGTCATAAAGTTTTTCATGATAATTTAAACCAACATTTTTTTAATTTAATGCAATAATCTCCATTACTTGCAACTTACTTCTCAAACACGTGTATCCAGAGTTTCCTGAAAGCACGCTACGTCACCTGCTTACGTCACAATCAGAGAGGGGATCTCATCACGGGAGATTCCAATGGAACCGTCTACATCTGGGGGAATGGGGGAAATAGCATCACTAACTTTGTGAAACACGGTCATGATGTAAGTAATGGAGGATGTTACAAACAGCAACATTTTGATGTGAAACATGGTCATGATGTAAGTAATAGAGGATGTTACAAACAGCAACATTTTGATGTGAAACACGGTCATGATGTAAGTAATGGAGGATGTTACAAACAGCAACATTTTGATGTGAAACACGGTCATGATGTAAGTAATGGAAGATGCTACAAACAGCAACATTTTGATGTGAAATATGGTCATTATGTAAGTAAATGTAAGTAAAGGGGGGCGGTACAATCACTATGAAAAGTTCGTGGATCATGGTCAAGATGTACGAAGATTTAAATAGCATGAAATTGATATAATGTAAGTCACTGGTCCTCAATGGTTGAACAATTTGAAATAACCAGAAAGAAATTATTAGGAAATTGACCAACCAACAGTCCCTGCCGGCCAATCTAATGGAAACTTTTGAGAAGCCTTGATGTAAAATGTGATACGTATGTAAGTTAAGCCACTTTTAGACTCAAATGTGTACACATAGCCAGATCAACTCGTCCAGTACAGCGTGTACACAGTAGCCACCTCACCTCGTCCATTATAGCGTGTACACAGTGCCCATATCGCCGACTACGTTGTGTACACAGTATGCATCTTAAGGAATAAATAAAATAAATCTATTAAAATCTCTGAACCTTAGATTTATAGCTGTCCCATGTTTGTGTCATCATACAGACGTAAGGACTACATTGGCATAATGACATTCCTGTTTTTATTACATTGTATGACCAGGGGTCAGTGTTGAGTGTCCAACACTACAGGGGCCATCTGCTGACCGCTGGGAGGGACGGGCTCTTTATCAGCTGGACGTGGAACAAAAATATGGACAAAGATGGCACGCTACAGGTGGGTCAAACCGGGGGTGATATATTTGGGTCCCACAAGGGGCCTTGTAGGTGGGTCCCACAAGCGGCCTTGTAGGTGGGTCCAAAAAGGGTCGTTACGCGTGTGTCCAGTCAGCGGTGTAACGGGTTTGTCCGACCAGGGGCGTTATAGCTGGGGTCCATTCATGGGCGTTTCAGATATGTCCAATCAGAGCGGGGGAATAGGTGAGTCCCAACAGGAGCATTATAGGTGGGGGTGTAAAGAAAATAGCTGTTAGTACTATATTAGTGAACGAAATCTCACTTAGTTCATCTATACATAACTTATGTCAATTGCAAAATGGCGTCTGTGGGCCGTCAAGCGTGAGCTCTTAATGCCCCCAGCACACCTCCACACTGGCCAGACGCCGGGTTTCCCCGCCGACAGACGGGGGACGTCCGTTCAACCGAAAACGCAGCGTTTAAAGCGTTCGCAGCTGACCCTACCGAGGGTTGGGGGGGGGGGGTTGCTTCCACTCGGGGGAAATGATTGGACGTTACCAGCCCCTCCCCCCACCCCACCCAGGGAGTCTTTTACTAGTGAAGAAAAGCTGGGACGACATGGTTGCCTTGGAGCAGCTTTCTCATGGCTGCATAGCTAAAATCATCGCCACCCAAGCCTCATAACGGCAACAAGTAATCATTTTATTGCCTAACTACACCCATTGCGTTGGGAGTCATGCAGTCGGCCGGGGGTTTGGGTTCAGGTGGACAGTTCCACCCTACTATTCCGCCATGCCAGGAAGAGGCAAACTCCATTTGGACGCCCCTAAGTTTCCTCGGAGACGCTTCCGTTTTCTCACAACGGATACATAGCTAATTGACAGTCGTATTAATAGGTGGGTCTATACAGTAAGGATTGACAGCTGTATTCATAGAGATAGGCGGGTCTATAGGATTGACAGTTTTAGTAGAAGGGATGGTAGATGTAAGTAAAAATGTAATGTGTCGGGTTGTAGTAAGAAAAGTGGGAGGCAACAAGTACGCCATGGTCATTGAATGAGATAATTTGTATTGGTAATATAACAACAAAAAAAAACAACAACAAAAAATAACTTTTATTGGTAATCACGAGCAATGTTCCATTGAAGCTGCACGGTCGTGCAGCTATCTCGCAGATACCACGCAGCAGTTTTTGAGTATCCGCGCAGCAAATTTTTATAAAAATAAATTTGAACAGACACGCTGCAATCTGCAACCATAATTATACAGTTATTATAAGATATACATCCATGTTTTTATTTTGATTTAAGTCTATACTTTTACGTACAACTATTGATTTACATATTTGCCTATACATACCGGATCAAGCTAGCCTCGTTCTGAACCACCACAGCCATCCATGTAAATTTCGTGGCGTTTACTGCGCAGTGCATGTGAATAAAGTAAAAAATCGCATATCCCTAGTCTATTATAAATGTAGGAGTTAATTATTTTTAATAATGTTTTAACCGTTATATCTAAATCTCAGTAAAGCGAACTGTCAGCGTCATCGCTTGTAAAGAAAAAGTGTCGATCAAATGTTAAAACTGAATGGCTCAATGAATAATGTGTGCATGCAGCACTGCCAGATTCGTCGTCAGAGCGGACTGTCAAGCTGGGTGATATTTCAAATATCCTGAAACTGATGACGATGTTGTCTATGAAATGTGCTTTAAAGCTAATGCAGGTGGTTATGTGTCCACAAAGAAAAAGTAGGAGGCTTAGATACGAAACAATTATGCAAAAAAAACCACACAGATGCTGTACAGAGACTTCGTTCTTTACAATCATTTGGTGTACTGCGAATGCTTACAGAAAGTGTCCATAATAGATGCATGAGACAAGAAGAAACACAGCGGAAAGTGCTTAAGAAGAATAGGTTCAATTTTTGGATGACAACGACCTCTTGGCTATCAAAATGAACACATCTATGAAGGCGGTTCAATACATACACAACCCTATGGCTAAGTAAACCCCAGTCCCTGATAGCTGGCGCAGTAAGAATTACGCTTTTGAGTTTGTTGATTCTATCGATTCTTTTGTGAAGGATGCTATAATTAGCGAAATTTGCAATGCTAAGTTCCACACATTTAACAGTAGATAAGAGCACTGATAAATCCCAGACAAAAATTGTTGATCTTATACGCAAAGTTTCGGCCAAATCCCGTCAATAGTTACAAGACATAGTTTGTTGGAATTTCGTCTCTTTCGGCATGTGACCATAAATCTGTGGAATCAGCAATAATAGAGTTTTATCAAGAGAATTCATTGGACATACAGAAAATGGTTATGTTTACCTCTGATGATGCATTGGTCATGCTAGGCAAGAATAATAGAGTAGCAGCAATTCTTCGCCGACTAATTCCCAATCTACTGGAACACAATTGCATTGCTCATTGTGAAGATTTAAGTATCAATGATGCTAGCAAACATAAAAGTTTAATGGCAGACATTGAAACATTCCTTAGGACAATGCAGACATTGTTCGTAGGTCAACAGTACGGAAAGTCCAGTTTACCGTACTAGCTAAGGCGTTGGAACGTGATTCCGTTACTTTTAGACAGAAATTAAATCAGATGGCCTTCGCGGCACTGTGAAAGCATACAAGTGTTGACTGAATACTGTGAGGAGCAGGTGCGCCTGTATAATGATCCAGTTCATAAATACTGTTTAAAGAAACTAAGGGATCCGCAGTTTTGAACTGCACTGATTGTCTTTGATGAAGTTGTTGGTGAACTTTCTGAATTATGTAAGCTGCTACAAAGAAAAAATCTAACGACCATCGAGGCCTACAAGTTTGTAAAAGCAAGGATCGCAAAGCTCCGGGCCGAGTACCTCGGTGAAAATGTGCACTGGTCCGAAGAGGTTGCTGAAATGCTTGCAAATGATGAGGATATAAACATGAGTTCTATCCTAAAATTCGTTGAATGTTTATGTTTACACCTTGGCTCTCGTTTCATTGAAAGTGAGTTGATGCAATGGCGAATCTTTGAGATATCCACGTTAATTGACATGTCGGATTTTAATTTTGGCCAAAAAGAACGTGCAGCATTGGTTTCTAGAAATGCAGCATTCCTGGAAAACTATGACAGGGTGCCGAAAGTCAAGGATCAGTATCGTAACTTAAGGTTTGTGCTTGCAGAAAAAATGAAATGTGTGTTAGTGCAGATTTCCGACGAAATGGTTCGATTTGCAATAAATAAGGAACAGTTCGGCGACATTGCCGTTCTGTTGTATATTTGTGCTACATTTCTTGCATCAAGCGCCGATTGTCAACCTGGATTGAGTCTAATTATAATATTTTTATAAAATCTAGAAATAGGCTGGCAGAGATACATTGAGAGATGTTTATGAGGGTTAAATCGTATCAGAATGAAGGACATCAGATCAACCTGGGCGATGTGTACAAAAGATGGATACGGTTGAAAGAACAAAGGCCAGAGTACCCCTAGAAATGAGTCCATTGAATGACTAGCGGCCATTTGGATTTGGTGTGTCGGAAATGAGTTGCTTGACCCAACGACGGGATAAATAATAGAAATCAATCGGAGAGCCTGTGCTTTGAACTATGGTGACATTTCTCATGAGAAGTATTTAATTATAGTTCATTTATTTATTGATGTAATGTTTGTACACATAAGTTCATTTATGTCATTTACGCGTGTGTGTGTGGGGGGGGGGTTGTCGGTGTGTGGGATATAAAATTGTGCACACAAAAAGTTAATTCTGTAAAACTTTGCACACAACGGTATGATTTTGCACACGAACCAGCAAGCTTTAGAGGGAACGTTGATCATGAGTAGCGTCAAATGCAGCACATACATATGTTAACATGAGTATAAAATTTATAAACACCCTACAATCTCAGATATAACTAAAATAATCCACTTAATATATCATTACGCTATTGTTCCAGCTGCCCAAATCTGAAGGTGGTGTCAGATGTCAACTTCTACTTCCTGTCGAGGACAGCACGACCTCGACCTTGGTGCTTGGGACGACCATGAACTCTCTCATCTACGTCAACATAAACCAGGCGGGGTCACCTCTAGAGGGTGTGACACTAGATGACGTGCCAATTACACAGGTTTCATTTCATGAGTTTTCCTAATGATAAATATTTTTTCACGGTTATTTGCTGTTTTACAGTACAGTCGAACCCACTTATCTCGACCTCGGTTAACTCGCTGACCCTGTTATGTTGACGTTTTTGAAGTTAATCCACCAAATTCGCTCTTTTTCTTAGCATTTTTTCATCGGTTATGTCGATTCTTTTATTTCGCCGAACCCTAATATCTCGAGCACAAAAGGGGGCCATACTGTCAACTTAATGTCGGTTATCTCGACCCCCATGACCTATCCCCGGCTTTTGAACTCCACAAGAAGAAACAGCAAACAAAAAAAAAATGTTTTTCATAATCAAAATAATAATTTATTTCTCAAAATACAAAAGTGAAAGAATTCCTATATTGGGTGTTATTTGGAACGGCCCAATCCTAATGATTGTGGCGTGGTTGGAAAGCTTGTTATTTCCGGTACAAGATAAATATAGCTTATTGTCATTTTAAATAAAAATTACGAATGCAACCGAACCTTTCAATCACTGGTAAGTTCAAGTAAAATCTGTTATTTTCCTCACCTACTTCGTGTATCACGTGATATGGCCCTGGCCGTTGAATAAAATAAGCATTTAGATTGGTTCTTGTGTCGGGATACTTATTTAAATAACTACTTCCGGTTGCTTCATAAACAAATCTTGAAAACACTGTTGTGTAAAAAACTATTTAAAAAATCACGTGCATGTTCGTTCTTATTTGTTTACGCACATCATATACATATAGAAATTTAAAGCATATGTTTATATGTTAAAGCCATATTGTGTTTCGACTATCACGATAATCGGTTATCTCGACGTTTTTTTGGCAAACCCATAGGCCAGCGACATAACTGTGTTCAACTGTATTGTCACACTTTTCACTTATTTAAGCACCCATCATATACAACACACAGACTCATAAAACACAGCGAATACAATAAATCAAATCCATACATATTGTCATGAGAAAACTGAACCAAATCAACTAGTACTCCAGTCACAACCAAATCAACTAGTACTGTAGTCACAACCAAATCAATTAGCTCTGCAGTCACAACCAAACCAACTAGTACTCAAGTCACACTTAACTAAATCAACTATTACTCCAATAAAACTTAACCAAATCGAGTAGCCTACTCCAGTCAAGCTTACATGTTCACATATACTAATAAATTTTAAAGATTTTTTTGACTTATCATAATAATTTATCATGTTCAATTATTTTAATAATTTATAATGTCGTGTTCAATTATCCCAAATCACTTTTCATGCTAAGGTATCCTAATAAATTATCATGTTCACCTATCCTGATAACTTATCATGTTCTCATATTATATCATTTCTATAATTAAAATAATTTTATATGTTCATTTATCCTATAGGCTTTTCATGTTTCACGTATCTAATAAATTGGCATGGTTCACATATCCTAATAAATTAGCATGTTTGCTTATCTTAATCATTTATTATTATAAATTATCATGTTAGCTTATCCTAATAAATTATCATGTTAGCTTATCTTTATAAATTATCATGTTAACATATCCTAATAAATTATCATGTTAACTTATCCTAATAAATTATCATGTTAATTGTCCTAATAAATTATCATGTTAACTTATCCTAATAAATTATCATGTTAGCTTATCTTTATAAATTATCATGTTAACGTATCCTAATAAATTATCATGTTAACTTATCCTAATAAATTATCATGTTAATTATCCTAATAAATTATCATGTGAACTTATCCTAATAAATTATCATTTAAACTTATCCTAATAAATTATCATGTTAATTATCCTAATAAATTATCATGTGAACTTATCCTAAAAAATTATCATATAAACTTATCCTAATAAATTATCATGTTAATTATCCTAATAAATTATCATGTGAACTTATCCTAATAAATTATCATGTTAACTTAGACTAAAAAATTATCATGCTCCCTTTTGCCAGGGCCACACAGGAGACTTGAGAGCCCTCAACAAAATTCACCAATCTTTTCTCAGTGCTGACATCATCACAGCATCAACTGATGGCGTCATCTGTAAGATCAGCTCGGAGTCCAGGGAACCGATCTGGAAATTGTGGATGAAGGGTTATCCATTTCTTTGTGTGGATACAAACAAGGGAGGCGACCAGATGGTGCTGGGAACCAAAGACGGACAGTGAGGCTATTGGGATGCCACTTTATTTAAAGGGAATGTTGGCCTGAGGCAGCCTTGTTATATGTTACACTATTGGTCAACTAATGTTGGCCTGAGGCAGCCTTGTTATATGTTACACTATTGGTCAACTAATGTTGGCCTGAGGCAGCCTTGTTATATGTTACACTATTAGTCAACTAATGTTGGCCTGAGGCGGCCTTGTTATATGTTACACTATTGGTCAACTAATGTTGGCCTGAGGCAGCCTTGTTATATGTTACACTATTAGTCAACTAATGTTGGCCTAAGGCAGCCTTGTTATATGTTACACTATTGGTCAACTAATATTGGCCTGAGGCAGCCTTGTTATATGTTACACTATTAGTCAACTAATGTTGGCCTGAGGCAGCCTTGTTATATGTTACACTATTAGTAAACTAATGTTGGCCTGAGGCAGCCTTGTTATATGTTACACTATTAGTAAACTAATGTTGGCCTGAGGCAGCCTTGTTATATGTTACACTATTAGTCAACTAATGTTGGCCTGAGGAAGCCTTGTTATATGTTACACTATTAGTCAACTAATGTTGGCCTGAGGCAGCCTTATTATATGTTACACTATTAGTCAACTAATGTTGGCCTGAGGCAGCCTTGTTATATGTTACACTATTAGTAAACTAATGTTGGCCTGAGGCAGCCTTGTTATATGTTACACTATTAGTCAACTAATGTTGGCCTGAGGCAGCCTTGTTATATGTTACACTATTTGTCAACTAATGTTGGCCTGAGGCAGCCTCGTTATATGTTACACTATTAGTCAACTAATGTTGGCATGAGGCAGCGTTGTTATATGTTACACTATTAGTCAACTAATGTTCTTTGAGACAGCTTTGTTATATGTTACACTATTAGTCAACTAATGTTGGCCTGAGGCAGCCCTATAATATGTTACACTATTAGTCAACTAATGTTGTCCTGAGGCAGCGTTGTTATGTGTTACACTATTAGTCAACTAATGTTGGCCTAAGGCAGCGTTGTTATGTGTTACACTATTAGTCCACTAATGTTGGCCTGAGGCAGCCCTGTTATATGTTACACTATTAGTCAACTAATGTTGGCCTGAGGCAGCCCTGTTATATGTTACACTATTAGTGAAATAGTGTTGGCCTGAGGCAGCCTTGTTATATGTTACACTATTAGTGAATTAATGTTGGCCTGAGGCAGCCTTGTTATATGTTACACTATTAGTGAACTAATGTTGGCCTGAGGCAGCCCTGTTATATGTTACACTATTAGTGAACTAATGTTGGCCTGAGGAAGCGTTTTTATATGTTACACTATTAGTCAACTAATGTTGGCCTGAGGCAGCCTTGTTATATGTTACACTATTGGTCAACTAATGTTGGCCTGAGGCAGCCTTATTATATGTTACACTTTTGGTCAACTAATGTTGGCCTGAGGCAGCCTTGTTATATGTTACACTATTAGTCAACAAATGTTGGCCTGAGGCAGCGTTATTATATGTTACACTAATGGTCAACTAATTGTTGCATCTTTTACCCCGTGTTAGCCATGTTAACCTAATGCTATCATTGTCTATCCCCAACAGCCTTGTTATACTTCAAGTCGTGAAGGAAGATATGTCAGTTGTGGAACTTTTCAATAAAAAGATATCAACAGGGGGGATAACGACGGTTAAATTATCTCAAGGTATGAGTTGTCTTCACTTGCGCCGGGGGTAATGTCCCCACTGAAAGAAATTATACTTAAGGTTTACTGGTGCTTAAAACAAAAAGTTAACTTGTAACTGTCAGCTTGTTTATAACCACAGTTTGGGTTATCGATTTTGAAACCGCTAAGCAGTTGCTGATTTTTTTAAACGATAACTATTTTAAAAAAAAAAAAATGAATGATTTAAAACAAAAAAAAGGTCGACTTATGTGAAAAAAAATAAAAATTTAACAACTTTGCCAGTCTAACTGTGAGAAACGTTTAAAAAATAGATGACAGTTACATGGAATAAAATAGATGTATGTGCTACTTTTGATATTATAAAATGTGTTAAGGCCTTTTAAAAACCAAGTCCTCACAAATCAAGTCCACACATATCAAGCCCACACATCATGTTCTCACAATTGTTCACAAATATAGTCCACAAGTATTAAATCCACATATATTGTGCTCACATTGTGTCCACACATATATAGTTCACACTTATTATGTCCCAATCATATGAAATTCTCCCGAGAAGGAGAGGACCAAATAGCCGCAGGAAGTACAGACAAAACAGTCCATGTGTACTCACTGCAACCCGTGCAGGGCAAGGAGGAGCTCACGTGGGCACTGACAGGAAAGTGCAAGGTCAGTAGTTCAATAGGTCAATAGGTAGCATAGTTCTTAATAGTTGTTGATATCCGAAGATATTTAACTCTTATATAAACATAAAAAGATTGAACAACTCTGGAAATGTTTGAATAAGTTTTCTGAATTACAAACTAAACTATACTTAAGTTCTTAACTACTGTTATAAGCTAACAAAAATTAGCTAGACATGTTAGATTAAACTGTTCGCCTTACAATGTCTCACACTACCCCATCCCACACCAGCCCACCTCACACTACCCCATCCCACACCAGCCCACCTCACACTACCCCATCCCACACCAGCCCACCTCACACTACCCCATCCCACACCAGCCCACCTCACACTACCCATCCCCACTCATCCCATATACCGCTGACTTTATTAAAGGGTCATCACGGACACATACACGCCATTGACTGGTCGAGTAACACACTGGATGGCTGCGTGATTTTGAGAAGCAGTAGTTCAATACCTGAGCAGAAATTCTGTAAGTTAATCGAGATACATAAACATTTCCATTTTAGGCTGTTTTAGTACATATTACATTGTTATACTTTATACATCAATGTAATACTATATAATATGTTGTGCTACTGTATACTACAATACTAGCGTAGGAAGGTGTGAGAGCGGCATTTTCGGCCAACTGTAGAGTTGCTTTAGGGGTATGGGGACAGCAAAATCTTGGACAGCCCCAGGGTGGCATCAACCCAAGCTACGCCACTGACTACAATGCAGACTGATAAAGAGAAATAAATTTCACACTGTTAACTGAGACTTTACGAGCCTTAAAATACGTCACACTAATCTACAGTTCATTTTGTTGATCAGGGAATGTAACGTCATGCACTGAAGTACCAGGTGAACTCATGACAGATGCAACGTGGGTGTCCACAAACTGTGTCTTGGATCACACACTTATAGGTAAGACAGGTGACAAATGTCCCTTAGCTGTTTAACACATTACTCCTGCTGTCCTCTCGGATACTACATAACAGCTGAATGTTATTTTCATGTAATTATGGTTTGCTGTTATTTGTTCGCCGAAGAAGGCTTCTTGCAGGCACGTTCGTTGTTTTGTTGCGTTCCTTTTTGCAGGTTTTCCCATACTTTGTTTCACTCATTTCCATTTTTCTAACCTGATTGCATACTCTCCCTTTTCTTATTATACCTTTGAGAAAGCTGTTCACCTGTATCAGGTGCAGCTCAATCATTTTATTCTTACCATTTTTCTATTTCATTGTAGATTAATATTCTACATTCTACATCAGACAATATCAGATGATATAAACAACTTTGGAATATTTGTTTTAATAAATTCAGGAAGTGATTAGTACATATTTTCCAATGTTGATGTTGACAAACGGTCCCTAGTGCTCAAAATTAATAAAGAAGGCCAGATTCTAGTCGTTGAAATGATTGAATTCATCTTGAGAAATTTTCAGATAAGACATTCAGAAAAATAGGTATAATTGGCATTTTGTTTTTATTAAAAAGATAGAAAAACTATTATTAAAAAGATATTTCTGAGGCCACGGCAGATTGTGTGCGAGGCCCCGTCAGATTGCGAGGTGCCGGCGAATAGTGTGCGAGGTTCAGGCAGATTGTGTGCGAGGTGCCGCAGATTGTGTGCGAGGTCGCGGCAGATTGTGTGCGAGGTCCCGGCAGATTGTGAGGTGCCGGAAAATTGTGTGCGAGGTCCCGGCAGATTGTGTGCGAGGTCTCGGCAGATTGTATGCGAGGTCCCGGCAGATTGTAGGCGAGGTCCCGGCAGATTGTATGCGAGGCCCCGGCAGATTGTGAGGCCCTAGGCGGTAGCTTTGTATGCGAGGTCCCGGCAGATTTGTATGCGAGGTCCCGGCAGATTGTATGCGAGGTCCCAGCAGATTGAGTGCGAGGTCACGGCAGATTGTATGCGAGGCCCCAGCATATTGTGAGGCCCTAGGCTGTAGCTTATTTAGCTTATACGTAAATCCGTCACTAGGTGCCATGGAATAGTTGGGTAGCAGGTAATTTTTTGGACACCACAATAAGTAATCTCTTATCTCTCATCATCAGTTAACTATTGGAATAATTGCTTTTCTCTGACCATAGGTTTATGGAAATCCAAACAGGCCAGTGAGGGGCATATCACTTGTGTTGACGTAAATCCTGGACGCCATCTTGCTGCCATGGCAACAAGCAATGGGTCACTCAGCTTGTTCAGATATCCCACTAGTTCTGGAGTAAGCAGCTATTTTGGTGTATAGAGTATAACAAATGATTGTATATCAATTTTTTTTAAAAAAATGTAATCATTTTTAACTCTTATAATAAGCTAGGAAGTTAATTAGGCTCTCTACTAAGACGAGACGTTGTCAATATCTTGAGATCCATTTGTCTTGGAAATCTTTGGGCCAATGCCTCCCACGCCCGCTCCCCCTTAGTTTTTAAATTAAAAAAAAAACATGTGGACCCACAGGGATCAGGGTAACTTAATGTGT